CCTGCTGATGACTTCAGTGCCAGAGCTTCCTTGAGAGAGAAAAGTCACATCTCTGTAACTGACTACTGTACAAACATGTAATCAGCATGGCTGTGTTGTCCTTGCATTTGCACAGAAATGAAATGTGGTATCTCAGTACCCAAGATTAACAACCTGGGTCTCCCCTGTGTGTATGTAATCCTACTCTCCCATTAGCATATATCCATCCATTTTCAATACATAGAAAAAGGCTTATAGGTAATCTGAAAGGGAAACAAAAACCCTATGCATCACCATTATACTAAGGGGGAAAAAACACCCCCGGTCTGCAGAGGCAAAATTTCATTCCTCTCTGCCAAACTGATACACACATTCTGGATCTGAAAACTGATGGAAAGAACTCCTGTTGGCTGCTGGACTGTATAAACAATTGATCGAGCATCTGCTTGTAGATGGACCACTGCTGTACAGTCAACGTCATGGTCTAGAAGGATCTCCAGCTCAATGAAAAACCCAGGGGAAGAGGAGGATGAAGAAGAACAGTGCTGCTGGCAGAAGTAGTGGGTTTCCTTTGGACAGAAATGGTGCTGAAAAAGCAAGTGTTCCACTTTCTTGATGTATATGACTTACACTATAATGAATCTGTTTCTTATTGAAGAAATGACTGAATACAATGCGGAGACAGAATATGTATTGCTGGTATTTTCTGGAGGGAAATGCTAGCAGTGGCAACGGATGCTTCTGAATGCATTTGGATTTAAGCAACTTAAAGGGGAGAGTGTTCCACTGGAGGACAGTCCAGAGATGCACTGCACTGCATAGAAATAAAAGCAGCTTTGTAGAACTGTGGTACACAATGCAAATATAGTTGCTGGGCCACACCACAGCAGAGTATGTGCTGCTATCCTGCTCGGGTTCTTGGTGTGAAGGAGGTATGTGATGTATCTCTTTCGGCCCAAATGAGAAAGTAACTTTCTAAGGACCTATTGTTCTCATGGCTCAAAGAAGGTAAAAAAGCTGTCAGGGTTCTTAGCAGCTGGTAAACAGATGACACTTTTGATTTCCTTTAATCCAGCCTGTTGTCCTCCCATTGGCATAGCAGACAGGGACTGGGGTGGACAGAGTGTGCGGTGCGTGGACTATTTGAGCTGTTGGAAAGGCTTCCATGAGCCATGACCAGCACACTCTGGGGTTTCTGCCACAGGGCTGGCCTCAAATCAGCAAGCCCTGGTGGAACCTGAGCATTCCTTCTTTTCCTTCCTTCTTGTCTTGTTCGAACTTGCACAAATAAATAGATCTTCATAGTTTAGATCCAACAGTGCCTGCAATCTGACTGTAGTAGCCCACCCTTGCATTTAATTTAAGTGCATTCCTGTTTTATTTAAGATGAATATAAATAAGCAACAGGTAAAGTGAGAATGCCAGGCTTTCAGTAGGGTTGGAAACAATCTGCTTGAAACTGTCAATCAGATGTGTTACCAATCTCTTTTTTTGCTTGTAGAACTCTAGAAAATTTCTAGTGGAGGTGCACATGATTTTAGGAAAATTTTTACACTATAATTGTGGGATATATATGATAGCAATTTTATTAATCATTCTTTATACTGAAGTAGTCCACAGACTCACAGCAGACTATAGTCTTCAAGTTGAAAGTGATTGAACTAGACTTTGCGTGTTTCAAAACCAAATTTTTCTTCTTACTTTTGCTAAGCTAAGTGGACTTTTCAAAAAAGTTGGTGTAAATACATCTTTGTAACCTTAACTGTAAGATGAAGGTGTTTTTAAGGCATATTCTGGCTGTGGCAAAATTCTCACTGATTAATTGGGAATATTGCTTGGACTTTAGGAGTGCAGTCAAGGGTTTACAAGTGCACCTGATGTGAATCAGTCTTTGCTCATTGTAAACCAGCTTACTGGGAAGTTGCTTTTCTGTCTGCTTCCTGCCTGCATTTTCAACACATATGTTTACTTGAAATGCATCTCCTCTGTGTTATCAGCTTGTCTCTTGGGCAGTTCTGGTTCTTGACTATTGGAAGAATTTCTTGCCTAGGAAGAAAACTTGAGTAGATTAGCTGTGGATAACATAAAACTTGCTTTTCTCTTCAGCAGGCTCTCGTTACAGCCTGTAAACAGATGTATTCTTAGAGTTCTAAATTCACATCTTGCCAAGGGGTAAATATATTACAGTAATGAAATTGCAAAATCAAAGATAATTTTCATTAACTTCCATTTCCCACAACTGCATGTAATTCCAACAAGACACAGTCCAGTCAGTGAATGTATTAGTCTAAAGGCAGATAGCTCTACATTGTATGAAAACCCCAGTATTCAGACTTACTGTGTATGATATTCTCAGCCAGTTCACCATTCTTAACCTGTCCTGTATCTTGCAGAAAGATTGGGAGAATCCTATAGATGAGCTGTGGTGTAAGAATATCAGAATGAAAATCCTGTGATGCAGAAGAATGAAACCTAAATGATGCGATGGAAGAGTTGCTTAGATACTGCAGTGATGACAGTGGCACAGGACCTTATATAGAAGTAGAAATGAAATAGAAATAGAAATGGTTTTCCTGCTGTCATTCTGCTACACAGAATTCCTACCAGTGTGAACATGAATTTTGCATACCAGTCAGCAGTGAGATAGCACCTTATAGTTTAGAAACTGCATGAGGGAAAATGAAAGAGAAATTAGAGTTGGCTTGTGTAAAATTGTCTAAGCTGGAGGGATCTGGGAAGATGCCTGATGGTCATTGCTTTGCTTGAATATGGCTGCACAAATAAGGTCAATTAAATTTCACAGCAAGGTGACTGGGTTTGGTTTCCATGCGTTTCTTTATCCAGTGTCAAAAAACGAATGGGGGAAGTTGGTTGACCATCTTCAGCATTTTCCACTCTTCCTGGGTTTGTTAGAGAGTCATCTCCTAACTGGTACGTCTGGTCTTAGAGAAACAGCCTAAGTAATGGCAAGGCCCTCAGTTTCCTTAGGTGACTGATTGAGCAGGCTGCAGGATTACAAAATGCATTTTTACTTGATTTCCTTGCTACACTTTTCACTTCTCAGCTTCATGCAGCTGCACCTCACTATACATTTCTGGGCCATGCAGAACAACTCCTTTCCATGCTCAGTGGTTATTTGCTTTAAATAAAGGCTTTGCAGATCTAGATAGAGACAGGGGACTAAAAAGCAGCACTTAAGTCCTTGAATCCAGTCTTTTGTTAGCATACTCTCTTTTGGCTTCATTAGTATCATCATTATTGCAGCAATTACCATTGTTAGAATTCTTCTGTAGCACGGTGGTATCTTGATGCCTCAGCCCTGGGTGACTGAGCACCTGGTACCAGGCACACAACAAAGAAGTCAGCCTGCCTTGAGTGGCAGACAGCCCATGGTAATTCTTCTGTCTTTATCGTTCACGTATCTTACGTGGACATGTCTTGAAATCTTACATTAAAGCATTTCTTAAAGCAAAAATATTGTTATATTTATAATTCTTAAAATGTACCAAATAGATACTTTTTCTACTTTAATTTTTTCCTGTCTTTAGAAATTGCAGTTTTGTTTCACAGCTGTTAAGTGACATGTATCCCACTCCACATGCTTTGATCTCCATTTCTTTGCATCTTCTATGGTTAGATATGCCCTTGCAAAGAAGATATAAAATGCTACTGTTCTAACCTTTGCTGATACAATAAAGGCCTGAAGGTTGTGAAAGATGTCAGATAGTAAATAATCAACACCTGCTCCTTTTCAGTCCTGTCCATCAGATTAAATGCCTGATTCATCTGAAAATTTGAACATAATAATGACCATGTATTTCCTTTCTTCAGAAATGCAAACAAAAAAATCAGGCAGGATAGAAAGAGGGCAATCAAGGAGAACAACGACAAACACCATTCTGGTCTTTTCCCTGGTGACTGGAATCACTGTGACTGTTGGTGTGATCTTTGCCATGATCTTTATGATTCTTCACTGGTAGGTGGACAGCATACAATGTGATTTACATTTTATTTGATCAAAATATGGTATTACTGGTGGCAAAAATGGCGTGGGGTGAGATATTTAAGTGTTTCTATAGTTTAAGATTTGTATTCCAAGTAGAGAAAACAGGAACAAGCTTCTGGAGATTGGAAAGAAGTACTCTATAAAGCAGTTACAGTGATTATAGGTGGGAAGGGAATGATTCAGAACTATTTATGTAAACCTACTTAAAGGTACATTTTCATTTAGTTATTTTTTTCCATTTCAGGTCTGTTGTAAAATCTATTTGGGAATCAAAATCTGGGCAAGACATCCAAGATAAGAAACTGACCAAGAAAAGCTCACTATATAGCATGGAATAAACAGCCCCCATTTCAGGGTTCACGTTGGCCTTTTGAGGAATTGGAGTCTCCATCTGCAGCTACAGTGTTCTCATCATCTGCATTAGCCATAATATAAGAAATGCCAGAGCCTTCACTTACAGAGGATGAAGTATCCTTCATTTTGGAATGTCCAAAGCATTTGGTACTGTCCCACACGACATCCTTGTCTCTAAACTGGAGAGACATGGATTTGATGGATGGACCACTCAGAGGATAAGGAATTGGCCGGATGGTCAAACTCAAAGAGTTGTGGTCAACGGTTCAATGTCCAAGTGGACTCCTGTGATGAGTGGTGTTCCTCAGGGGTCCGTACTGAGGCCAGTGCTATTTAACATTTTTGTTGGTGACATGGAGAGTGGGATCGAGTGCACCCTCAGCAAGTTTGCTGACAACACCAAGCTGTGTGGTGTTGTGGACACGCTGGAGGGAAGGGATGCCATCCAGAGGGACCTTGACAGGCTGGAGAGCTGGGCCTGTGCGAACCTCATGAAGTTCAACAAGGCCAAGTGCAAGGTCCTGCACGTGGGTCGGGGCAATCCCAAGCACAAGTACAGGCTGGGCGGAGAATGGATTGAGAGCAGCCCTGAGGAAAAGGACTTGGGAGTGCTGGTGGATGAGAAGCTTGACATGAGCTGGCAATGTGCACTGGCAGCCCAGAAAGCCAGCTGCATCCTGGGCTGCATCCAAAGAAGCGTGGCCAGCAGGTCAAGGGAGGTGATTCTGCCCCTCTACTCTGCTCTCATGAGACCCCACCTGGAATACTGCATTCAGCTCTGGAGTCCCCAACACAAGAAGGACATGGAGCTGCTGGAGCAGGTCCAGAGGAGGGCCACAAAGATGATCTGAGGGCTGGAGCACCTCTCCTCTGAAGACAGGCTGAGAGAGTTGGGGCTGTTCAGCCTGGAGAAGAGAAGGCTCTGGGTTGATCTTATTGCAGCCTTTCAGTACTTAAAGCTACTACAGGAAAGCTGGAGAAGGACTTTTTACAAGGGCATGTAGTGAGAGGACAAGGGGAAATGGCTTTAAACTGAAAGAGGGGAGATTTTGATTAGATCTAAGGAAGAAAGTTTTTACATTGAGGGTGGTGAGGCACTGGAATAGGTTGTCCAGAGAAGTTGTGGATGGCCCCTTGCTGGGAGGGTTGGAGGGCATTGCTGGAAGTGTTGAAGGCCAGTTTGGATGAGGCTTTGGGCAACCCGGTGTAGTGGAGGGTGTCCCTGCCCATGGCAGGGAGGTTGAAACTACATGATCTTTAAGATGCTTTCCAATCCAAACCATTCTATGATTCTAAGTAGAGAAGTCCCTCCAGGACTTGCAAAATTAACAGAATTAGAAAAAAAATATTGGGTTACATAGAAATATGCTATAAAGAAGACTAAAATATGTTTGAAATACTGGTTTTAAGAAGTACTTTTTGCAGTTCATTCACTGGCTTGGATTACTGAACTTGAAGTGAAATTGATAAAAATACTAATATTTTAAGGTGAGCATCATTCCCCAGGTAATTTAGTAGTCTGAGCACTTCTGAACTGGAGAACCAAAGCCAGATTTTTGTAAGAATGTTGAAAATGATATCTTTAACATATCTTAATTTCGTGAAGATGTTAATCTACACTAGATGACACTAGGCATATAGTCTAGGCAGAGACCATTTTTTGTGAAGTGCTCCTTATCTCCTCGATGATCTTCAAGCACAGCGCCTGCTATGTAGTCGCTATAATCCAGTTTCTTCTTGACACATGGAAGGATACGTAGTCGTAGGAAAGATAATTAAATGTTGCTTCGTAAGTTTCACTAAATTTTTACCTGCACATTTGCATACGTAACCATTTCTGCCATCACGGGGACCGAAATACGTGAGCAGAAGAGTAGCCCTGTAGGATCAGACCAAGGATTCATCTATCTCTGTAATCAAATCAATGGACAAAAAAAGAATGTCTAGAGAAGATTACAAAAACAAGACTGTATGATTTTTTCCACATACATTCCTCCAGCTTCCATGCATTTGCAGGTTTTCTCAACCAGATGCATTTTCTAAGCAGTTAGCAATCCTGAGTGGATTTCTTTTCCGTGGCTTTGTTCAATGTCCCCTTGTACCTGTTTAAGCTCTGTCATATAAAACGTCCTACAGCAAGCTCCACAGTGCAACCGCATCTTCTGTCCAGCTTCAACCTGCTTCCTGCTAGTTTCAGTTGTCACACCTTACTTCTTGAAAAGGCAGTGAGCTGCCAGTCTGCACTATCCTCTCCCTGAAAGGGACTGCCTTTTAGACCTCTAACATATTCCCTGGTTATTTTCTTTCTGGACTGAAAAGTGCAAGATTACTTAATGATTCTTCATCCTGAAACTGTACCATATCTCTGACCATCCTTGCTGACCTTCTCTAACCCTCCTCTGTTACGTGACTGTCTTGTTTATGAAGCTGCTTGCTGTTTGTGTACATAAGCATTGTTTGATGCAAATAAAACACCTGAGCTGATGACATGTTGAAAAATGGACTGTGAACTGATTAAAATGTTTAATAGATTTTATGATGAAGATTTTCTCTTGAGTATAGTAGAAGCTCTGAAAAGAGGCCAAATATTGAGCGCTCCAGGGTAGAGAATGCTTCTCAGTAAAGAACATTGCAAAAAAATTGCAAAAAATAGATTAGAGGTAGTAATTCATCCTCTCAAAGAATTCCTGTTCTTTTCAGATCCTCTATTGCTGCAGATGTTCTAACTGCACCATCTGCACATCCTTAAAAAAGCATTATCATATTTTTGAGAGATACATCATTTTGTTTGCTGTTTAGTGAGAAGATCATTTACATTTTCACAAATAAAACATCATATTCAAAAATGGCGTGCACTTAATTCTATAAAAATATCTTTTTTAAAAAGGAAATCATATTTTTGGTAACACTATCATAAGCTATGTCATTTTATATCATTTAGTGAAGAAACCTAAAAGTCTTGCAACATTCTAAAGAAAATACATAGAGAAGGAAAAAGCAGACAATAACAATTTTGCAGTTTGCAAAACTATCTTACACATTCAAGGTGAGTTTTTGATCCCATGCAAGCAAAGACAGCATATTTTGGTGAGTCTGGATTTAGGTCTGGAATGCTGGTTTTAAAAATAGACCAAAACCAGTTGTTATTACTCAGGAAAGTGCTTCCACTGAAAGTATGGTAAATATAAGCTGCCTTCAGCTCTGCGATTGACTTCTGAACTGTAGCTTTCATGTTGTAATTAGGGTGCAGCATAACTGAAAAGAGAGAGGGAATCAGAATATTCTTTTCCATAAGGATGCAAAGGTGTACTATTATACGACCATTTTGTGTTTTAATAACATTTGGAAATAACTTATTTGGGTTGATATTTTGAAGGTTTTAAATTTCCGTGGTCTGCTAGCAAATCCTGCAAAAAGTAATAGATATGTAAGCAAAGTAATTCAGAAAATGAAATTTAGAAACAGCTGAACTAATCCGTACTGGTGAGTGTGGGGGTCCTTAGGGTAGACGGAGGAAGTTTTGCTCTTTATTGGCTTATCTTGTGCTTTTTTTTTTTTGCTCTAACTCCTTAAAGCTTCCTACAAAATAGAAAAAAAAAAAAATCAAGACAATTTGGTGCAAAAACGGTAGCATAAAATACAAAAGAGTGCCTTGCTGCTCAACAGGTAGGGTAAACAGGCTGTTCTGTTGTCGAAGCCACAATCAGAAACTCCAAGAAGTGACGAAATTCCTGAAGTTAAGGTTACTCTGTCCAAGTAGCCATCACAGAACCACTATATTATCATTCTCTCACCCTAAATATAAACTTGAATAAATTGCTCTTGGTACTAGATGGAGTATAAACCACACGGGCAGTGCACTGTTATTATTTTAGCACAATCCAAAGCAACCTTCCCTGACATCTGATCCCATAATCTGAACAATATACTTCTTAGTTTGGTAACAGAGTGGACAACCATGACAGATAAGAGACATTCAGAAATAAGTGTTTTAACTTAAGTCTTTTTAAAGAGATAAAGGACATGTTACAATCTGCTTGCACAGTTCTGGCAAGTATTCACCATCTAGGATATATAACTGTATTTAATGTAACTCCTTTTATCTTTAGTGCCTGAGAAATATAAAGAATGTTTTCATTGTTACTTTCTGGTAGTGGTTTAGTGAAGAGAATAAACAAGAGTTTCTCCTTTTCCACAGATTAATTACCCTACAATATCTCTATCTCCTTCTGCTTGCTGACCGCAGTGGAAATATTATCTTTACTGATCACCCCAAGGTATGAAAGTATTCTTATTCTCAGACCTTACACATGTGCCCAACTCCTGTTTAAGCCAGTGGTATTTAAGATTTCGAAGTGAGAATTTCCTGCATTCATAAGGGGAGAAGCACAGAAGAACTAGAAGGAGAAGGGACAAAGGTCACATAAAAATATCTTTGTGATCTTGGGAGTTTGTGCTGCCTACAAGAGCTTTTAGCCAATGCAGATTAGGCAGCTTCTCTAGTCAGCTCTGTAGAGTGTGATCTGTATAGAAATTCCAGCACTCTGGGAGCTCATAGATTTGCCTTCATTCAGATGCCCTCCTACATCACACCTTGGAGGGTCATGAAGCTCAATTCATCTGTGAGGAGACCGTTTCACATGCCTTTGCTGTACAGAGGACTTCCAGTATCTCCTCCCACTACTGCAGCTGCTGGATGCAGGATACAGGGGCCAGAGTTTAGGTGAAAACCCCATCATGTTTAAATTTAAGCTTGTACTTACATTATTTCCTGAACTAAGATGTCCTCATACACATCTTTAAGCGATTTCCTGAATCAGGGCCAAAATGACTGTGTCGTCTCTTGCATTCACTTGCTTTGCATTGTCTAATATTGCAGCATAATCTTGCGAGTTTTGTTTTAATTTAATACTATTTTAAACATTTCCCCACTATTCTTTCATCTTCTCTTTCTTATTCTTTTTAAAGAAAAATCTTTTTGGAA